GGGTCAGGAGAGGTCTGCCACGCCATGTGGTCACCTCCGGGACAGGCGGGGATCGAACTCATGGGGAAGTGGCTTTAGATTCTCAGTGCTGTGCTTTAACCCGCTGCGCCACCAGGGAGGGCCTAATGTATTTTTTAATATGCAAGGGCCCCTGAAGCCAAGCCATTGAGGGTTGTAATTCAAGCAGGGCCCAAGTCAAGGACGAGCCTGTCTGCTCCCCCACCGGGTGTAGGCTAAATGTCTAAATATATTTAAAGCCCATTATCTCTCTGGCCCGTCCTTCCCCTCTTAGGTGCTTGGTTAGCTGCAGGGAGACCTCTCTGGCCCCTCCCGCTAGGTCACAACCTCGACATGCCCTGTGGATCTGACTTTCTGTGAGCACACAGTGGTGTGCTTTGGGTCACAAACTCCGAAAGTCCACGACTGGGTTTGAAATGCTGCTCTGCCAGTGGTCAGCCATGTACACTGGGCAAGCTGGTCACTTCTCTGACCCTTGGTTTCCTTGTCTGTAAAGTGGGTAAAAGTAACTTCCTAACAGAGTTCTAACAGATGATGAGTGTTTTTAATGCCTTTCCTTCCTTGTCTTCTGAGACTCAAGATTCCTTACTTGCAAAGTGGGGATGGCAGTAGGTTGTGATAGACTAAATAAGTATCCTTGAAGCACTGGGAACCATGCCTGTGGCCACAAAGTTCCATCAAAGGGTTTATTAAAAGCAGTTTGATTAATATCTTCTTCCACTTGGCAGTAACCCCATAAAGGCAGAGGCCATGCCTGGATTTACTGTCTTGGGTAACTCCAGGCCTGGCACATCGTTTCACCCAAATGATTGGTTGAACATATTCCAGTCCTCCTCCTTTCGCTCATGCTTCTTTCTTTTGGAAGTCATTTACACTTTAGTGTGAAGCATGAATTAATACTGCTGTTCCCTTTCCTAGAGTACATATTCACCTGATCTAATCACCACGGAAGGACATGTTCTCTCCCCCAGTGAAGGAATAAGATGCCTCAGTGATCGGGTGGGGGAGTTTTTCAGGACCGGAGAGGCAGGTTTTCTTTCTTCTCTGTCATTGTGAGCCACATTCTCTGCTTCATAAAGGGACATGCCTAAGCATTTGCACCCTTTATATTTTTAAAGGAGACATTTTCCTCCCTTTTTGGAGGGAGAGAGGACTTTGGCAGGCAGTAGATGTCAGACCCGAGGCAGCAGACTCCTGGGAACTAGATATAAAAGGCATCCCACTTAAGAGGCTTCTCAGAGGAAACCTCGCCCACGGATCTGCAGGAAGTCCCCGGAGGCCAGCCCACCACGCGGGCCCGGGTCTGGCTGCCAGCATGCAGATAGACGAGACGGGCCTCTGCCACTTGGAACATGGAGTTCCGAGGCTTGGCAGGAGCCCAGAAGGAATTGCCAGGCCCCAATTCATGATGGGCCCAGGCGGTGGCTGTCTCCCTGGCACCAGTGGGGGGTATTGAAGTTGGCTGTCAGACCAGGCTCTTGCCTTGTCACTGATCAAAGGCAGGTTGGTCTCCCCAGTAAATTTGTTCTGTTTATTTCTCCTCTCTGATTGTTTCCTCCTTGCACACGAAGCCTCCAGGGCTGCTGTGTTCTTGAAGACTTCAGAACTTTGTAAGTCCATGTTTGCAAGAAACTAACAGATGGGGCACAGCTCTGCATCCCGGTCCCTGTGGTCCAAACCCTGATGTGGAACTGACCTTTCAGCTGCAGAGCATGCATTGAGCACTTGCTGTATGCGCTGCCCTGTGCCACGTCTCGAGGGGGCCTCTTTGGAGTTGGGTCACTATGTCTGTAGAAGGGGCGCTCCTTACAGGGTCATCAAGATAATTGCATCTGTCGTGTGCCCAGAGCTGGTCTTTGCTGAGTGTTGATCAGGCAGGAAGAGGCCTGCTACGTGGCCTTGAGGAGCCTCCTGCCCACCCGGGAGGGGTCTAGCTTCCTCACTGCTGCTGTGACAAAGGAGCACAGGCCCAGGCACCCACCCGTGTGTTTTTCATCATTTTGAATCCTCTAACTTTCATAAGGGCTTCTGTATGGTGAAGACCTTTCCCATGTTGATTAGGTTCAAAGCACTTCTCTCTGAATCGAGTTTTGTCAAGATTAGCATGTAAGCATGATTGCCAATGTGCCTTATATTTATCATCTTGCTTTCTTATGTAATTGCTCTTTTGACTAGGCAAGCCTAAACTATGTTTTGAACACCTTCCCCAAGAATAATATGCAGGATGTTTCTGCTTTATAGACCCCCACACACCCGTTGCCTTGAGTTCTGTAGATCAGATGTCCCCAATCAGTCCCATATGCCAACATGCAGGTGTCAGTTGGGCTTAGTTCCTGCTGGAGGCTCTGGTGGAGAATCCATTTCTTTGTTTTTTCCAGCTTCTAGAGGCACCCCCATTCCCTGGGTGGCAACCACTCCCATCCCCACCTCAAAGCCAGGGACGTGACACCTTCCCATCTCTCCCGCTGCTTTCTCTGTCCCTTGTCCTCTTGACTCTGGCCTCTCACTGCCTTTGTACAGAGGCCCTTGTGATTGATTATATGGGCTCACCTGGATAATCAAGTATAGTGTCCCCATCTCGAGATCCTTCATCGCATCTGCAAAGTTCCATTCTCCAGGTAAGGTAACAGAGTCCCAGGTTCTGAGGGTCAGGGCACAGGCATCCTTGGGGGCCACTGTCTTGTCTACTGTGAGAGACAAAGTAAGGGTGTAATAAGTGCAGTCAGTGAATTGCATGGTCCGCCAGCAAAGTGGTCAGGCTATAGTTTTATTTATTGACTTTTAAAGATTTATTTATTTATGCACATAAGAACTGGGGTACAGGATGCAGGGGGTAAGAGGTTTCACCAGAGACAGAGTAGAGAGCAGAACAGGCAGATTGACGAAGGGGGAGCAGCCGGCGGGACAGGAGAGGTCTGCCACGCCATGTGGGTCAGCTCCCTGATGGGGGTTGGGGGTGTCAAACTCATGCTGTAGTAGCTGCAAATAGCCTCCCAGTGCTGCACTTTAACTTGTTGTGCCACCAGGGAGGGCCCAGGCTGTGGTTTTAAATCCTGGTGATGCAGAAGACCTTGCTGAGCGGCCGTTACCGAAACAGCATTCAGGTGGGGCTTGCTTGCTGCCGGGGCAGGTCTGGCTCTGCAAGGAGCAGCCAAGAGGCTGAGACGGTGGAGCTGGGGAGTCACTTAGGCATTGTCCCCCGCATTGACAGAGCAGTTGGGGCTCTTGGCAGAAAAGCCCTTCTTTCAGGAGGGAGGTGTCATAGCTGCATCTCTGTGGGGGCGGGAGCAGAGAGGTAAGTGAGCCATGGAGGGGTGTTCGCCTGTCCCAGACAGTCCAGGATGCCAGGTGCCTGCAGCAGGAGCCTGGGTCAGACCTGAGAAGCTCCAAGAATGAGACCCACAAAGCGGTGGTGTCCTGCCAGCAAGCCTGGTCTGGGCCCTGACTGCCCTGGCGTGCAGAGTTGATCCTCGCGGCAAAGCTGCAGGATGGGCTGCGGCTCCATCCCCATTTTACAGATGCCGAAATAGAGGCTTGTCAGTAGGCTCGACCTGAGGCCTGGGGCTCACGGAGTCCTTGGCCTTCCTGCCGCCTCACCACCAGCCCCGCGGGGCTCAGCAAACAGCTCCAGGATGAAAGAATGGATGGAGGCTGTTCTAGAATCTAGGCTAAGGGAACAGTCAGGCCGGGACTCGGGTCAGGCGAGGAAAGCCCCGAGACACTGGTGATGCAACACTGGCTCTCAGGCAGGTTCAGTCAGGGGCCCCGCAGGACTGGCCCTGAGCACTCCCCCCGTGCTGTGAACTGCTGTCTGGTCATGGGCTGGCCAGCACTGCTTGCCAGGGCTGATGCGGCCCCTAAATACATTCAGATGTCAGATGCGGGAGGTGCTTCCAGAGCTGCTGGCACACAGACAGGCTGAGAGTGCTGGTGGCTCCAGCCTGGGGCACCCCGAGCACAGCTCTGGCCAGCAGGTGGGTCCTCAGGGAGCGGGTGTCTTTCCCAGCCTTCCACAGACACAGCGGCTGGGCTGGGGCTCTATCCGGAGCACCTAGGAGTAGAGCTTGGGTTCCTTAGTCGGTGGGTTGGGGTTCGAGCCCTGTTCCCACCCCACCGCGCGCACCCGTGACCTCAGGTGGTGTCATTCCTCAGTTTCCTTCCTCATCTGTAAAATGGGAATCAAACCCTACCTGTGTCGGGGTTGCTGAGAGCAGGGATGGGTCGAAAATGCGTGACACGCCCAGCCCCGTGCGGGAAGCACAGACCGACAGGTACCGTGCTCTTGTGACATACGCGCAGTGCCTCGCCATTTCTTGTCACTCACCCAAGAGACACACGATCGTTTATCTTCACAGAGCCACATGCTTGGCTGGGCCCATTCAGCAGCGTCTCCCCGGGAAGCTTGTATGGGCAGAAGGCAACGCTGGCCAGCCCAATTCCAAACTTGGAGGAGGTAGCGGCCGCCGCCCATCCTCTGGGGCCTTTCCCCCTTCCCTGGCGGGCAGCATACCTCGGGAGGAGACGCCCCAGCCTGCAAGGAAGCACTCATTATCCCCGAGTGAGAGCCACTCCCGCCACGTCTCCAAGCCAGCCCGTGCCCCCTCCTCCTGCCACCGCCCCCCTCTGAGCCGCCTGGGCTGCTGACTGCTCCGTTGGAGTGTCTGGGGCCAGATGTCGTAGGGCCAGCAAGAAACCAGGGGGCCGGCCGCTCTCGGGGTGGGGGCAGGGTGGGGGCATGTGCTGGGCGCTGACACATGATCCCAGGGGCCCGGCTGAGTGGAGCTGAGACGGTCCAGCCAGCCGTGCACACGCCTGCTCCCCACTCAGCACCTCATCTCTGGGTAGCTGGCAGGAAATGCCTCTTACCAGCCGTGGGAGGGGCAGGGGCCGGAAGAAGGCCACCTGGGCGCTGTACTTCCTGCTGCTTCTCCTCGAGGCCAGTTCTGCCAGGAATGTTTGGAAGCGGGCACTGCTCTCGAGGCCGGCTCAGAAGTCCCGTGTAAGTGCCTGGATGGGGAGCTGGGGAGAGACAGGCAGTGGGGCCCGGGCGCTGTGCAGTTCTGTGAGTACCGCCTGCACGCAGGGCAGGTGGATTTCTTTATTGAGAGTCACTGTTGGGTGGGTGGGTGGCTGGGTGGGCACAGAGGGGTCTCATGGTGCCTTGCCTGTGAGTGAAGAGGCACCAGGGGCCAACCGTTCAGGGTGGCTGGTACCTCTGGCATCACCAGACCAGACCACAGGTGGAGTCAGCAGACTGACCACTGAGTGTCTGTTTCTACTATCAGTAGCCAAATATTTATGAAATGTAGTCAGGCACTCATGGAGCTATTTGTTCAGTAAATATTCAGCAGAAAACTCTCTGGGCCAGATGCTGTGGGTGCAAGATAGAGGCACAGCTCCTCCCCCTGAGGGTGGCATGGTCGTGCGGGAGAGGCCACTGGGGGACAAGTGCAGCACAAAGCTATGGGCAGTATCACCCAGCCCGTGGTGAGGAGCGTGCACCTGGGGCCAGGCGTCTCGATTTGAATCCCGACCCTCCTGCTCCTCGGCTGTGTGACTCCAGGCAAGTTGCTGGACATCTCTGAGCACCAGTGATCACATCCAAAAAAAGACAGAGGGATGAGTCTTTCAGCAAAGGCGTTTGCTGGTCACTGCCAAGCACCATCCTGGGCTGTGGGGATACAGACATCAGATGCCTCTTGGGGAGCTCACGTTACTCCTGCGAGCTGGGGGTGGCCGAGAGAAGTAAATGGGAAACAGTGTGTTTGGCGATAAGAGCCAAGCAGAGAAGTCAAGCAGGATGGGGCTGGTGAGGAGGTGGGATGGGGAAGGTCTCCCCCTGCCACCGCAGGCTGAGAGGGTTAGTAAAGGGACTCCAGAGGCAGAAAGCACATAGTGCAGACGGTTCAGTGCATCTTGGTGACTTTTAATTCAATCACTGTGAGCTTGGTTGGTGCGTGCCTCCCCGGGTGGAATGTCGGTTCCTCAGGGTGGGGTCTGACTTGGTGGCGTTCAGCACAGTGCTCCTGGCCCCTGCCATTAATCTGTGTCTGATACAATCTTAAGGGCAGACTATAGGCAAGTGCTTGGGAGCCAGCAGAATGGAGCCAGCTCTGCCCAGGAGAGTCAGAGAGGGGTGTCCAGGGCTTTAGATATTCACCCTGGGGCTTTGAAGGATGAATAAGAGTTTTCCAGATGGAAAGGGGAGAAGAGAATGTTTACTGACACCCTCACTCACACCCTACTCAGGGGGCTGTGTGAAACTGTATTGAGGCTAATATGAGCCTCCCAGGCTCACATCCTGGAGTAAGACTCACATGAAGAGACAGGAGGCCAGGTGGGACTAGAAAAGAACAATCTAGTGAAATGATGGTTTTAAGTGTTTGGAGGAGGGAGAGCTCATAGGACAGTGTAGTCATAGAAGGCTTCCTGGAAGAGGTGAGGATGCTTGCTAGAGCATTAATTGAACAGCAGTTAAGAATTAGGGAAGACATTCTTAAAAGAAGACTTGATAGGTCCTGAGGCCCCAAGGCAAAAACCGTGCCTGTGGGAGTGGTGTGAGCCAGAAACTAGGAGGGGCTGGTGTGTGCCAGAAGGGGGGAGACCCATCTGTGTGGCTTCTCCAGGCTCTGCGCCAGCCCCGCAGTTCTTTCAGTTCTTGGGTGATAGGACCCCAGAGAGATTTCCAGTACAGCATCTAGTCTTGTCTCCCTCTGACCCCTAAGTGTCCTAGAAAAGCATGCTGTGACTTCCTTATTTGGAGAAATGGGGAAACTGGGGGGGGGGTTGTATGTGGGTGGGGGGATCTTTAAAAACACAGCCTGGGGCAAGTGCAGAAACTGGGTTACTTCTGGACACCTCGTCAGAATGCAGGTGCTCTGGCCCCTTGCTGCAGTCTCCAGCTGTCAGTGACCTCCCGTCCTCCCCAGCACCCAGTGTCAGGAGAGGCTTGTGCCAGAATGAGCCTTGGCAAGACAGGGGCAGGGAGGCTGGGCAGGGCTCCGGGCCAAGGAACACAAGGCCGCTCTCCTGCAGTCAGCTGTGTGTCCTTGCCGCTCTCTGGACCTCAGGCGGTGAGCGAACCGTGAGGCTGAGAGCAGATGACCTCCAGTGCCCTCGTGGCTGTGATCCAGTTCCACGCAGATGCCCAGCAGGGAATGACGGAGTCACAGGGAATAGCCCCCACACACTCAGAGGCAAGACCTTCCCATGTGGCTCCCAACATACCTTTCAGCCTGGACCCAGGAGCTGGGGTGAGGGCGAGGATACAGCAGCTACCCCTACCACCTTGCAGAGTTAAGCCCACCCTTATTAAAAATTAAATCATACTAACTTAGAACTCAAGAATCTATATTTAAAAATTAGAAGTGTCTTGCTGTATCTTACTGTTCTGTTTTCGAGCCCGTGTCTCTGATTCTGTTGTGGAAATAGCAGAGTGCAGTGAGTGACTACTGGAGACTGCTGGGGCCCATGCAGGGTGAGTGCCTGCCAGCAGTGGGCACCCCGTATGTCCCTGTGGGTGAGTTGAGGCAAATGCAATGGAAGCCCAGAAGCACATGTGCAGTGCTGTCCCGGGGTCAGGGAAGCTTTGCCAGGGTGGGGGACATAGGACCTGGGACTTTGGAGTTGGAGTGGAACGGGGGTAGTTTCCTAACTGCGGACATTGAACTGCCCGCGGACTCAGAGACACAGACACACATGGCCGTATAGTCCCCTGAAGCCCACTGGGAGGCTTGTAGGGGAAGGTTCACCTCTCGGATCCCCAGTTTCCTCATCCAGAGCCTGGGAATCAGCAGTGTCTGCTTTGCAGTCCCTTGAGGAGATCCCCAGCTGCGCCTAGTACACAGCCACCGTGCTACATGTGTGCATTCAAGACAAAACAAAAACCAGAGCCAAGTATTTGTGAGGCTGGACAGGACCAGCACTGTCTGCGGATAGCTTGTAGGCTTTCTGGGGGGTGCAGCCAGTCTGCAGAGCTGGCGGCCTTGACTCCACCTTACTGAGCATTGCTGCGCACCAGGACCGGGACTTCGAAGGTGCCTGTGTGTCGCTGTGGTTCTGGGCCTGCTTTGTGCCTCATCTCCCGTGGGGCAGCTGGGATTGGTCGTGCAATTTGCCCCTGCCCAGAGTGCCTGCCCAGCCAGAGGCTGCAGCGGTGGGGGACAGTGCCTTCTTGCACTACATCCTGCCAGGCGGGTGCCCTCTGCAGACAGTTCCCCCATCTTCTGTTGCTGGGCACAGGCCGTTGCAGAAGCCATCCTGAGCCCCTCACCTCACTGCCTGCCCTCAGTCTCCCCATCCGGGTTCTCCATTCCTTCACAACCTGGAGCACAGTCACCTTCCAAGGCACCTCTTGCACCGCTAAGACCTGAGTGGGGGGAGTGTGTGGCCCAGAGCTCTGCCTCATGCCCTTCTGTGCTCAGCACTCCTGAGTGGGCGTCCCCTACTCCTTGGACCTTGTGAGATATTACCCCCCTGGGGCCCATTATAAGAGCCACCAGGATGCATCTCCTGTAGTGGGGGAGGGGATACTCTCTGGGCCCTGGTGGTGCTATCTAGGGCTGGGAGAGGGGACACGGTCTGCTCATGTGAAGCCACCCCCAGGCTTGGCCACACCCCAGACGGTGGATGGAAGGAAGGGAAAGTGAAGCACTAGCGTGGGGTCACCTGGGCACAAAGCTCTCTGCCGTGGCACCTGCCTTCTCGTCTGCGGTTGTAGCCCTGCAGTGACGGCTAGAAACGAGCAGAGGAGTGCGGGCCACATCCCCATGTGCTCACCATCCGGGAGTTGCAGCGAGACCGGGG